TGGAGTTTGGAAACCTTTGCTAACGTGTGCTTCAGGCAGCGTTTTCCACTCCCAGCTCCACACTTAGTTTGGGAAGAGCCCAACCGTGAACTAACAGCTAACCAAAACCTGAGAACACTGTGTGGTACTGCGGGTGCCTCGCCCCGGGCTGAGCCCTGCTCAGGGCTGGCACCTCCTCTGGCCCCTTCCTGGGAAGGATTCCTCCAGGGAAATTCATGCCTGGAACACAGCGGGTCCCCTGCCAAGAGCAGCCCTGTCCTGCCACCCTGCCCTTTTCCAGGGGGACAGGCAGGGCAGAGAGGAGCATGCCCTCCTCCTGTGCCAGCCTGGCTGCTGATCCCCTGGTGCACAAACCTCCCCAGCAGGGCAAGACCTGCTCTGAGCAGGGATTTCACCAACTTCAGAGCTGAAGGAACAGCTCAAGGAGTGTCTGAGGCTGCTTCAGCAAAGGGATGATGCTTTTTTTTTAACATCTGCCGTCCCCTCTCCCGATGTAATATTTATCTGCACATATACACACACATATAGCTAATTACAGACACACACGTGTATAGATAATTAATGCTGATGACACATAGGAGCTGCACCCTGCTTTGGCAGCTCTCCTGCTGTGTGTGAGTGGTGGCTGCTGCATTAACTCAATTCCCTCCTTAGAATCCTACCACATCCTAGGAACCCTAGGGCTATGGCTGAGCCTCCAGCAGCTGCACCAGCTTCCAGTCATTTATTCCAGGGCTGCAATAGTTACCCCAAAACTATGTTTAGTCCTGTTTTGAAAGATTTAAATGCTCTGCCTTTTGCTGCTTCCTGTAGGAGGTTATACTGCAGTTAATCTTACCATTACCGAGGTTTCTTTCGGTGTTTTAATTTAGTTTTTGCTTTCTTTTCATTAACTGTCATCACCTGAGCACCCCTGCCCTTCTGATCAGAGGCCTTGCTCTCCACCTTGCCACCTTTGCATCCTCCTCTCCACTGGCACGGAGGGAGGGTGAGATGCCCCGTGCTGACAGGGCACAGGAAGAAAAAAGAGTCAGGGGTTCCCCGTGGATTCTTGGTGCTGCCTTTCTTACTCCTGACCCAGGGGAGTGCTGCACCAGGCACGCCACACCTCTGTAAACACCATGGCAGCCCTCACCCAAGCGCTGCTGGGCTTCCAATCACTGACAGTCAAACTTTCTGGAAAAGGGAGTATAACACTCCATTTTAAGAGGTTAAAAAGGAGGAGGAAAAGCAGCTCCAGGAGTTTCTGGCCGGCTGCTTGGGCTCCGACTGCCACGGCCTCTGTTTGCTTCCACAAAACAGGAATTGTTATCCTGAGCCACGGCTGTGCCTCTGCCATGAGCGGGTCAGCTCCTCAGCACAGGCTCTCAGGGGATGAAACACACTGATTTAAGGAAGCCTGAGCCTAGAGGAACAGGGCTAAAAGTATTTTAATGGAGGCATTGGCTCTCTTTATCCTCTGGAGTCGCCCAAGTAAAGCATGGGAAAGCACCTGGAACTGCTTCGTGGAAAACCAGGGGAGCACTGTGCACCTCGGGGGGCTGCAGGGACAGGGATCCATCCTGCAGGGACAGGGATCCACCCTGGAGGGACAGGGATCCACCCTGCAGGGACAGGGATCCACCCTGCAGGGACAGGGATCCATCCCTGGAGGGACAGGACAGGGATCCAGCCTGCAGGGACAGGACAGGGATCCATCCCTGCAGGAGCAGCAGAGCACCCCCAGTTTGGAAATGGGGCAGGGAGGGCGTGCACCCAGCAGAGCAGGGAGCTGCCCCACAGCCCCTGGCTCCTGACCCAGGGGGCAGAGGGGCCTCCCCAGACTGGAACCCTCAAACAGCCCGAGAACACCCCAAAAACATCCCAAGGACAGCCCCAGAACAGCCCAAGCCAGCCCTGGGAGTCCTGAGGCAGAGCCTCCCCTGGAGCACATGGCTTGTCCCCAGTGCCCCCAGTGCCCCCAGTGCCCCCCTGCCTCACCAGCACCCCAGCCCTCCTGGCACAGCCACCCTGACCCACAAACCAGCACCTGGCACTGCCCCCTCCTCTCATTCCTTGAGACCTTTTATAGCTCTAGAGAAGCTCCTTTAGAAGAGGCAAAAATGGATTCTTTGTACAAAAAGCAAGTGGAAGGGCGTTATTTTTTCAGATTTTCCTAAAGCAATATAAAAATATCAAAGGAGCAACTCCTTTTTCTGAGCATTTTAGTTCCTTTCCAAAGCTCTTTCTGAAGGAAAAGTATTTTCACGGATTTTCAGCCTACGCTATCAATAGATTTCCTCTCTTCTCACCTGGCATTGAGCTGCTAACAGGATTCACACCCAGCTGGCAGCAAATGATAAAAAACACTCACACACAGGCTTTGACTTCCACTGACTCTTCCTAAAAGCCACCTTTTGCTTTCAGTTTCCTTAAAAGAACAACCTAAGTAACACACATGGCTTCAGTGAGGAATACAGCTCATGGATAATTCAAAATACATCTTCCTTTAATTGGCCAGAAAGACCAAATTTAATCAATGCCACTTGTTTAACCTAAACCTGTTGCTAATGCATCTGTACTGTAAGCCAGCATTGTCATTCCAGTCTAGACAGCTTAAGGTGTGTGCATGAAAATCAGATTAATACCAGCAAAAGAAAGCAAATTTCCTTCAAGAGTTTGCTTTTTAAAGTGAAGAGGTGGCAAACACGTTGCATCTTATGTGTATTGTAAAGAAAATCCAGGAAATTAAAAATAATCACATTTAATTTACGTGTTGCAACATCCCTTGGACTTTGTAATATTTCAATCTGTGGGACTAAGGCAGAGTTAAAGTCAGCACTTGTGGAGAGCTGGTGAACATCAGCACCTTTGAACTGCAAGTGTAATTCTGCTTTTCAAGTTAGGAGGCTGAAACACCTTTTCCTCATCGCTCACCCACCCAGTCTAGCTCAGCATTTTGTTTTACCACACTTGTTTTTCTCCAGCACTTGGAGCCAGCTGCAGTAGACCCACGGGTTCAGAGCCCGAGCTTTTAGGCTTTGTGTTTGCCAAAAACGCTGTCCAAGGTGATTCCCTCTCTCTCAGACTGCCAGGGCAAAGGGAAGGCAGGGAACATCAGGAGCTGAGCTCCAGCAGCCTGGGCTCTGCTCCCCATTTCCTGAGCAATCACTAAGTGACCTCGAAGAAGTCCTTTCACCTCTCTGGCCATCCTGCAGAGCAAGGAGCAGCGAGTGGGGCTCAGCTCCTGGCAGCCCAGAACGCCACAGGGAATTCTGGAGACAGAGCCAGAGCTGCTGCCGTGCTCAGGGAGCAGAACCCGTGCCAGAAAGCCTGGGCTGGAACACAAGAGCAGGTGGCAGAGAGCCTGTGCACGCCCCTCCTCCTGTCCCCAGTCAGGTCTGTCCTGTGTGTCCGTGTGTCCCTCCCCTCCCCGGGCTGAAGCAGAGCTGCCCCGGAGCCCCAGCTGGGGAAGGGCCCCCACTTCACCACCACTGGGAGCTGCTGGGGGCTCCTCGGACCAACCGAGTCTCCAAAGCCGGTGTGATGGTCTCTTTTTGATAAAGCAGTCTGGCATTCCAATGCAATGGTGTTTTCTTTAGGAGTTCTACGTCGTAAGAAGCTCTCAACCCGATTATTTTCTATTTTCGTACTTTAAATGGGCTTTGCTTTACAAATGTCAGAGGGCAGATACGAAATGTACTGGACACAACTGCAGGTAGCTTCACTTGAGAACAACTTTCTAGAAGAACCAAGTTTCCTGTTGTCTTCTTTTGGAATTGTAGTGCATCTGTTGAAACTTGTATATCATTTACAGTATTGAGTCTTGTGCCACTGCTGTACCTGATGTATCCAACCCGGATTAAACAGAGTATGTGCCACAAATACCAACAGCATGCTGCAATTTCTTCCGAAAACCTTCTGGGAGGCCCTTTTGGAGAACTTTGGGTGTTGACCTAGGCCACTCCAGATGCATTTAAACACTAATTAACTCTTCCCTAAGCAATCATTAATGGAATCAGTGAGATGCCACTCTGCCATAATGCAGATCCTGAAGGGCATCTCTGACAGGGTCCCCTCTGAGAATGTTACCAGCTGCAAAAATTCATCCTGGAAACACAATCATGCTGTCTTGGCCTTTCCCAGCCAGGCAGAGAAAGGGGAACCCCCTCCCTGGAGCCATTTGTGACACACAGGGAGGAAGGCAGGAACAAAGTACAGAAAGAAAAACTTTCCCAATTAGTGCAGGGGCCAGCGCCCCGAGCCAGCCAGCACTGCCATCTTTTCCTGCCCCAGGACAGCTCTGTACAAGCCAAACAGGAAATATCAATTAGTTTTAGCACTAATAGGTAATTCCATTTCTAATTAAACATTCCTCTAAGTGTGGGAAGTCTGATACTGTTGCACCCAGAGGGACAGACCAATTATGATTGCTGCACATTCTCTACATAATTAACTCCTCCACCACACGGCCTGCTGCACACCTTGCTGTAGAAATGTTATTTATACAGCGTTAATTAACTGATTTAAATTAGCAATACAGGCATGGAGATGCTCATTTCACTCTGCCACTTCACTGGGATATAACTGGGTGTATGTTTACCAAGAGAATTAGGGAAAATGGGATGATCACCAGCTTGGAACAGACCATGGAGCCCCACAGGGAATTCACCCAGCAGCCACAGGGAAGGCAAGCAGAGGGTGAGGCCCTGGCACAGGTGCCCAGAGCAGCTGTGGGTGCCCCTGGACCCCTGGCAGTGCCAAGGCCAGGCTGGGCAGGGCTGGAAGCCCCTGGGACAGGGGAAGTTGTCCCTGGGACAGGGGAAGGTGTCCCTGCCATGGCAGGGGTGAACAAGGTGAACTTTAAGGTCCCCTCCCACCCAAACCACTCTGGGATTCCATGAAATCCAGCTGGGATTGTTCTGCATTTTCTCCTTTCTGACATTTCTTACGTGGCAATGGCTGCCTTTTATCATCCTTTTTTCACTTTGGATTGTAAAGATTCCACCTGAGCATCCAGCTGTCTTTCTTTTCCTTTTATTAACAAATTTTAACACCCTCACTGTGTAAAACACCCCCCAGACACAGCTGCTCATACAAAGACACCGTTTTTCTCCATCTCAAACAACACTTGCCAGTGTCCTTTGGAGCAGCCCTGTGGTCCCAGGCCCTGCCCAGCCCTGCTCCCCACCAGCAGCACCAGGACATCAATCCTCATCTCTGAGCAGCTCCTGGAGATAGACCGAGTTGACGTGGTAGGCACTGATGCAGCTGAGGTGCCAGCAGCTCCTGCTGTAGTGAGACACTGCAGCGTAGTAGCTCTGCCAGGCCTCGCAGTAACACCTCCAGCAGTGCTCAGAACTGCAGCCCTGGTGTGCAGCACCACCCCGGGAGCTGCAGCTCCTCTCCTGCGCAGCTCTGCTGCTGGCAGGACTGCACTGCTGCTTGTGGCTTTTCTTGCGCTTAGCGTTTTGTTCCGGGACTTTCTTTCTCACTTCCTTCTGCCTTGGGCTGTGGGGTGGCTCCCGAGGTGCCTCAGGTGTGGGACAGGATGCTGCTGGGGGCACAGGGCTTGGCTCCTGCCTGTCTGAAAAGGCCTCAGAGCAGGAGTTGCTGGCCCTGCTGTGGAAGGACTCCCCGGAGCTCTCCGAGCCATCGCTGTCAGCACACACAGCCCCTCCTGTTGCTGCTGCCTCTGGCTGGTGGTCCATCTCTTGCCACTCCACATCCCCATTTCTGGGCAGCTCACCCTGCTCTCCTGGCCCTGAGTAACTTCTTAAAATCTCCACCTCTCTCTCTGACCCCTCTTTAATGAAATATTCATAATCTTCAACAAAATCTGAGAAGCTCCAGGGATTGGTGAGCTGGGTTTTGAAAGAAGACAAGCATGGAATTTTGGGAAGATTTTTTTTCAAGGCCTCATCCTCTGGAGGCTGAGTGCTGTGTTGTCCCTCCATCCTGGAGATGGGTTTGACTTGGTTGCTCTGTTTTTTGAGACAGCTGGAAGTTTGGGGGGTTCTATTTTTCTCTACATGTGCAGGTTTTGTCCACTTTTTACTCTGTTTTTGCTTCGGAGTATTTTTTGGCCTTTCTACAGAAGAATTATCCCTTGGAAGGTTAGAGGGAGGCTGAGGAATGTCTGGAAAGCCATTCTGGACAGGCTGCAGCACTGGCTGCTCTGGCTCAGGACACATAGTGTCACAGTTCACCACAGGAGCCGTGGGTATTGCAGGTTTAACTTCCACCTGCCCTTCCTCAAACTGCTCCATCATTCCAGGGGGGATTGGCTCTGCACAGAAGAGAAACAAGCAGCCACTCAGTCAAAGGTACCCTCCCTCTGGAGCCCACAGCACAACCCAAGAGAAACTCCTCAAAACTGCATGTCAGACACCAAGGGAGGGCCACAAAGCAACAATTCCCAGAGGAGTTTAAAGAGCCACAACATTTCCTTCACAGCAGGCACCAAAGGCTGCTCAAGACAAACAACAGCACTGCATCACTTGTCAGGAGCTGGGTGTGAGGAACGTGGGCTACAAGCAGAGCACCCCAGCCACACTCCAGCCCCTGGGCTCGTGTGAAGCTCTGACTGACAGGAAAGCACCAAGCCCAGCTGCAGCCCCAGCTCAGAGCCCACCTGGCAGAGGAACAAGCTGCAGGTTGCACTTCTGAGCAATTTTCATCATGGTGTTCTCCTCCTCCCCACGGCAGCAGTAGGTCACAGCCAGCCCCAAGGTGCCTGTGGGACAGAGCACAGTTAATGCAGGCCCAGCAGAGCCCAGCAGGGCTCAGAGCTCAGCCCAGCAGAGCCCAGAGGCCGGCCCAGCAGAGCCCAGCCCAGCAGGGTCAGGCGCAGCAGAGCTCAGCCCAGCAGGGTTCAGGGCTCAGGCTAGCAGGGCTCAGGCCCAGCAAAGCCCAGAGCCCGGCCCAGCAGAGCCCAACCCAGCAGAGCCCATCCTAGCAGAACCCAGGGCTCAGCCCAGCAGGGTCAGGCCCAGCAGAGCTCAGGCTAGTAGGGCTCAGCCCAGCAGGATCAGGCCCAGCAGAGCCCAGCCCAGCCCAGCCCGGCCCAGCCCGGCCCAGCCCAGCCCAGCCCGGCCCAGCCCGGCCCAGCCCAGCCCAGCCCGGCCCAGCCCGGCCCAGCCCAGCCCAGCCCGGCCCAGCCCGGCCCAGCCCAGCCCAGCCCGGCCCAGCCCGGCCCAGCCCAGCCCAGCCCGGCCCAGCCCGGCCCAGCCCAGCCCAGCCCGGCCCAGCCCGGCCCAGCCCAGCCCAGCCCGGCCCAGCCCGGCCCAGCCCAGCCCAGCCCGGCCCAGCCCGGCCCAGCCCAGCCCAGCCCGGCCCAGCCCGGCCCAGCCCAGCCCAGCCCGGCCCAGCCCGGCCCAGCCCAGCCCAGCCCGGCCCAGCCCGGCCCAGCCCAGCCCAGCCCGGCCCAGCCCGGCCCAGCCCAGCCCAGCCCGGCCCAGCCCGGCCCAGCCCAGCCCAGCCCGGCCCAGCCCGGCCCAGCCCAGCCCAGCCCGGCCCAGCCCGGCCCAGCCCAGCCCAGCCCGGCCCAGCCCGGCCCAGCCCAGCCCAGCCAGGCGCAGCCCACCGAAGCGCCCCGCGCGGCCGATGCGGTGCAGGTAGGTCTCCCAGTCCAGGGGCACGTCCAGGTTGATGACCAGGTTCACCTTCTCAGCATCAATTCCACGAGATGTCTGCAGGGAGGAGGAGGAGGAAAGGGCAGTGAGGGCTGAGCAACTGCTCAGAGCCTGGAGCAAACACAGAGCCCCAGGTGTGGGAGGGACCACAGCGGGCTCCCCCAACACCAGAGTCACCCCAACACGCCAGAGTCACCTCAACACGTCAGAGTCACCCCAACATGTCAGCTTCACCCCAACACGCCAGAGTCACCCCAACACGCCTGGCACTCCCAGCACCCTGCCCACGGAGCAGCTTTTAGCTGCAGACAACAGATGAATTGACTGTTGCTGAGGCAGAGCACGGAATGGGTGGGGCTGGATGGGCCCCAGCAGGATCAGCTCACTGCAGCCCCTGCCACGGGCAGGCAGTGAGGAATGGGGGTGATCTCTACACCCCACTCCGAAAATGAGCCCGTGGTGCTCCATCAGCACATTTCCCATCAGCACATCTAAATTCTCTCCAATTCCAAGCCAAATCTGACCCTCCCAAGGGACTTTACGGGCGGTACTCCTGCGTGCTGTAAAATCTGCAGAGCAGTTAATAAATTTGAAGTAGGATCTGTAAAAAGCTTGTTTGGAAGCAGTAACAGCTCACCAAGTCTGTGGAAATCAGAACTCTGCAGTGGAATTGCTTTAATTTAGCCATGGCATCAAGTCGCTGGCTTTGATTCATGTTGCCTAGGAAGATAAAGGTTAGAAGCAGGTTACATTCTTCATCTCACATTCTAGAAAACACTGCTTTGTATCATCAGAAATAAGTCAGAAACTCCCTCAAACATCACCCCAAATGAGTACAGAAGGAACAAACAAAACTGGAAAACTCAGGTCACTCATTACAAAAAAATTATTTTCCTTGTAGATTGAGTCTTAAAAATCTATGAAGAGTCAAATGCTATTCTCAGCCATTTAACCAGAGCCCCTGCAAGGCAAGATTTAAGATATGTTTTCCTATTTTAGGTCACATTTATGCACAATTTCAGTGGAATGAGAAAACTGTGAATGGATTTACCTGAAATGCACTCGGCAGGGAAGCCTCTGGATGTCAGTATTTCAGCCAGATGTTGAGCCCTGAGGGAACACACACCCTGAGAACTGGAAATAAACCCCAGGACTAACAACACCAGCCAGTTCCTAGGTTATTCTCTACAGCCAAGGGCTGCACTCTGGTATTTGCAGTATTTCACAGTGCATTCCTCAGGCTGCATTTCAGAGCTGAGGCTTGCAGGCTGCTCTGTTACCCCTCGTGGATTACCTGCTGTGCAAATTGGAGAACACCAAGGCTTGGTTGAAAGGAATCTTGCTGAACAGCTCCTGCAGGTGCTGGGTTTTTTCCTCAAAGGTTTTATGTGGGAGGGGATGGGAATTCACAATTTTGTAGTACTGCTTCAGCCCTGAGCAGGAAAGCAAAACAACAGATTAGGGGCTGCCATAAGAACATGCACAGAGTTCTGTGAACATGTGATAGTGCAGCTGAAGGGAAACTGCAGACAGGCACATGTGAGAGCCTCCAGCAGCAGTTTTTCTTAAAAGGCTGACATTTTTCAAATGGATAGAAAAAGCAGAGAGTTCCACTTCTCACTGGAATTTTAAAAATACAGAATCACAAGAGTGGTTTGGGCTGGAAGGGCCTTTAAAGACCTTCCCATTCCACTTCAAGATTCACAACATCAACACTGGGAAGCAATATTCACAAACTGAACAACTCAGGGGTGAAATGATGAAAAACCATGCATTCTACAGGCATGGCTATGAAAAAACATGTATTCTACAGGTATGATTATGAAAAATCATGGATTCTACAGGCATGGCTATGAGAAACCATGCATTCTACAGGTATGATTATGAAAAATCATGGATTCTACAGGCATGGCTATGAGAAACCATGCATTCTACAGGTATGATTATGAAAAATCATGGATTCTACAGGCATGGCTATGAGAAACCATGCATTCTACAGGCATGATTGTGAAAAATCATGCATTCTACAGGCATGATTATGAGAAACCATGCATTCCACAGGCATGATTGTGAAAAATCATGGATTCTACAGGCATGATTATGAAAAACCATGCATTCTAAAGGCATGATTATGAGAAATCATGCATTATAAAGGCATGATTGTGAAAAAACATGCATTCTAAAGGCATGATTATAAGAAATAATGCATTATAAAGGCATGATTATGAAAAACCATGCATTCTACAGGTATGATTATGAGAAATCATGGATTCTACAGGCATGATTGTGAAAACCATGCATTCTACAGGCATGATTGTGAAAAATCATGCATTCTACAGGCATGATTATGAGAAATCATGGATTCTACAGGCATGATTGTGAAAACCATGCATTCTACAGGCATGATTGTGAAAAACCATGCATTCCAAAGGCATGACTGTGTGCTTACCAAGAAGGCTGGGGTCCGTGGGGTTCAGCCTCACGAAGGTGGGCTCCCTCATGTACCTGGTGAGAGCAGCAGCCAGGGACTCGGGGTAGGTGGCTGACACTGCCAGCATCTGCTTGTTGACAGGCAGGGAGGAGTAGATCCAGCTGAGGGACACAAGCGGGCAGTTACTCACACAGAGGCACCGATCCCAGCCCAGGGGCACCCCAGGAGGGCTCTGCCTTACTTGACCTGCTCCTGGAAGCTGCCCTCCTCCAGCAGCTTGTCGGCCTCGTCCAGCACCAGCAGCCTGACGCTGGCCGTGCTCAGGTACTCCAGCTCGATCAGCTGCTTGATCCGCCCTGCAGGGCACCGAAGGGAGAGCAGCTCGGACGCCTGGCAACGAACTGCTCAAGGATTCTTGAGCTGCCCCCGAGGCTGTGCCCCGCGAATGGCAGCAGGCACGGCCACCAGCGCCCCCAGGGCCGGCTGTCGAGCCCAGCGGGGCCGCAGGGACACAGAGCACAGCAAAGCTGCTCCCACCTGGCGAGCCCACAGCGATGTGGCACTTCCTCAGCCTGCTCCTGTCCTGGCTCAGAGGCGTCCCTCCGATGAACACGTGGCACTGCAAGCCTTCCATTTTGATGCCGATCGTCGTGATCACGGCGTGGATCTGCACAGCGATCTCCCTGGTGGGAGCCAGGATCAGGATCTGTGCGGGGAAGGGTTAAACGGGAGGACCGGAGCCGCGGGATGGCGCTGAGAGCCAAGGGATGTAACCGCGGAGCCCCGGGGCCGGATCCCCGAAATGAGGGCTCCCTCTCCCCTCCCTTCCTCTCCTCTCCCCTCTTCTCCTTCTCCCTCTCCTCTCCTCTCTTCTCCCTACTTCTCCTTGTCTCTCTTCTCTTCTCTTCTCTTCTCTTATCTTCTCTTCTCTTCTCTTCTCCCTCTCCCCTCTTATCCCTCTCCTCTCTGTCCCTCTTCTCCCTCTCCTTCTCTTCTCCCCTCCTCTCCCTCTCCCCTCTTCTCCCTCTCCTCTCCCTTCCTCTCCTCTCCCTCTCCCTCTCCCTCTCCTCTCCTCTCCTCTCCTCCCCCTCACCTGCGTGGCGGGGCTGTCCAGCAGCACCGCGTCCAGGGCGATGGTGGCGAACACGCAGGTCTTGCCGGTGCCAGACTTGGCCTGCACGATGAGATCTGCAAAGAGCGGCCACGGGGGTCAGGGCAGCCCCGGGGGCAGCCCCGGCCCCGCGCCCGGCCCGCCCGCTCACCCAGCCCGCAGCGCCCCAGCGGGATGGCCTTCAGCTGCACAGGAGACGGCCGATGGAAGCCGGCGGCCTCCAGCCCCGCCAGCACCGGCGGCGACAGCAGGAGAGAGCCGAAGTCGGACGGGCCGCCGGGCAGCAGCACGTCCCGGGTGCGGAACCGGCCCGCCGCCTCCATGGGCGCCGCCATCTTGGCGGGGCGGGCGGGGAAGTCTCGCGAGAGGTGCCGTGATCGCGTGTCGGGCGAGCGCCGCCAGGGGGCGCCGCGCAGGGAACATGGCGGCGCCGCCGCCTCAGGGCGGGCGCGGAGCGGGCACGGCTCGGACGGGCCGGGCCCGGCGGGCTCGGTGCCACCGGGAACTGCCCGAAATCGGTGCTGAGTGCAGCTCCCGGCCCTGCACAGACACCCCAAACCCCACCCCGTGCCTGGGAGCGCTGTCCGAACGCGCCCTGAGCTCCTGGGGCCGTGCCCATCCCTGAGGAGGGCACACAGCTCTCTATGAGCCTACAGAAAATTCCTACGGAAAATTAACAGCACAGTATTCACTCAGCAAAGGGCAAATGTGTTAATCTGTATGTGCGTTAATTACTACCCTCTGTAGGCCGCTCATTTGAAATCGTGGGTGGCTTTATGAATATCAGCTTTGATGGGAGCGCCTCAGAGGCTCTGGACGTGCAGCCCGCATTCACTGCAAGGGGATTTGGAAAATCTCCACGCTGGCTTCTACTGTACGGGCACATACACTGTGCCATTATTCTTACAGTGCCGGGCAGCCAAAATGAATTTTAATGGCTTTGGTATATCACAGGCTTGGTCACGCCTTTGAGATCCCTCACGTCTGTATTCCTGATGGGGGAGAACAGTCTGGCAGATTCTATTCAGTTATGTTTTATTGTGATGATATTTTCCTGAGTACCAAACACTTAACCCTGCGGGACAAAGAGCAGTTCCAGTCTGGAGAGCTGCCCTCCACCAAGGGGGAGCACAGCCAGGTAACAGGATCTACAGGCATGCCGCTGCTCCTATCATTTTTTAATTTTTAAGTGGGTATTCTCATTGGTCCTCAAGGGGAAAGAGTCTCCAGCATGAGATAATTGTCTCTGGATAAATCTGGGAAAGGAGACAGACAAAGACACCTGGACGTAACAAACATTTGATTAAATAGAGCCTTTCATAACCCTTTTAAATTGATGTGATTTGAACAGACAAGAAAGAGCCGCGAGGAGGGAACTGTTCCTGGGGAGGAAGGGCAGCGAGGAGGTGACAAAACAGCCCCCAAGAGCCACTGCAGGAACTGCTCCCTCTGTTTCTCTCACTTATTCCCTTTCTCACAGGCTGCAACACAGCCAAGGTGATCTGGAGACCGAGATTATTCTCTGTGCGTTTGTGAGACAGACACCGCGCTGCCAGCCACAAAGGTGCTGCTGTTTGTTATTTCACTTTCTTCCCCACAGTAAATCGTACCTGCTCCTGCTCCTGGCTTTGCTGAGAGCTCTGTGTGCGGGCTGTGCTGTGATCGCAGTGCAAACGGGAACCTTCACCCTCCAGCCTTGCTTCACCTCGGTGACTCTGGAGCACTCGCTTCCCGTGGCTGACCTTCGCCTGTCAGCCCCGCCAAGAGGGATCTGCAGCTCTGCCGTGACAGGGCTTTGCTCCTGCTTGCAGTAAGAGCCTGAGGAGGTATTCCTGCTCAGAGCAGCCTTTGCAAATCTTGACATTGAATCTGGATACTCTGCAGGCAGAACAGGTCCTGGGAAAGGATTTAGGCTGGTAAAAGAAGCCGATGAGGCATCCTTCAGAGCTGGAGTATTAGTAAAATAACAGGTTATTTTGAAGGATGTGAACTCCCTAGCTTGGGGTCATAAAAATCCTTAAAGTTTTAGGATGTAGAAAAGCCCTGCCAGGGAAAATTCTTCCTCCCATAGACACTGAGAGCATGTTTTATTCCTCCAAGAAAGTGCTGGCCACATTTTTGTCCCTGCCAGAAAGTGCACATCACATATTTGATTTCATTCCATGCAGGACCCATTTTCCCCTGAATCTGTATATCAGTGTATCAGCTTTGGGCAAGTGATGTTCTAAGACTTCTGAGTGATGCTGCTGATGCTCCAGATAGGGTGATCACTGTTTCAGCCTATTTCAGCCTATTTCAGACTATTTCAGACTATTTCAGCCTAACACCTGCAATACCAGGACTTAGGACTTGCACTAAATACTTCCCACAAATTTATCCATCTCCTCCTTTTCCTATAAAACTACTCTTCATTTCCAGCACTTAAATTCTTGTTGTGACTCTGAAATAGTGAGGTAAAATGCTCATGGATGGTTTGTACTGGCTTCCAGAACTGTTGGGTTGTGTCTATTTTAAGAATATATTCATTATTGATTTGGACATTGCTACTGCAAACAGGCACCAGCCTTGCCTTATTCCTTTGCCTTCAAAGGATTTGTCTTTCAGATCTGCCAAGACATGGAATTATTCAGAGCAAATCTGGTTTACATAATATTTGTAGAATATTTTGGAAGTGAGATAATCTCATCCTCCTGTCCCAGATGTTTTCAGATTAAGACAGGGAAGTTTCTCTGTTCTCTGCAGCACGTGTGAGTCACTCTTTGGAGCGTGGGGTGTATTTGTGTTTACACTGCCATGGAAACTGTGTTTGTTCTCTGTACAGTAGAGCCCAGGACAGTGGAAGGGCCATTGATCCCAGCAGAGACAGTGGCTGTGTATCCACACCAAAAACTGACTCCGAGCACGCTGCGCATTCGCTCGCCCTCTGGAAAAGAAAGCTGCGTGGCAAGTCACCAGGAGCAGCAATCTGGGGAGCAGCAGGATCCTCTCCTTTGCTGTAGTCATGACAGAGCTGTGGGCTCTTCCCAGCGAGTCTGGTGCTGCACTTCTCATAAATAATGGCGAGGAGGAGGAGGGTGGTGATGTCTTACATCCATCTACGGCTCGTTTCAGTGCCCCCCTGTGGAATGGATGGGGTTCCTTGTCAGGCACGTTCCTCACGAGGATCAGGGAGAGCTCCCCAGGCTTCAGATGGAATCCCAGGCCCACGGGGGAGTCAGCACAGGCACATGCACGGGTGCAGCTGCAGATTAAAGCAAGGAGACCTAAAGGATCGGGTCAGAGCAGCTGCTCCAGCTCTGCAGAGAGAAATGCCAGTGTTTCACTCCTCTTGTTTTCCTCCAAATAAATAAACATCATCCCAGTTTCATCTTCGATACCAAGATTTGCTAAATTATTTTCTGAGCTCGTATGAGCAGGATGTAGGTCACGAAAGCGCAGCGAGCCGAGGGGAAATCCGATGGATGTTCAGCACAAGGCAGCGCTGCACAAGGAGCTGCCTGGTCCTTACTCCTGGCACTCCAGTGCAGGCAGAGCAATGCCAGCAGCTGCAATTGGGCTGCAGCACCATTAAAACTTTTCATTTTGAGGATGGGGCATGGTGAGGCTGGGGCATGTCAGAACTTTATATATAAAGGCCACAAGTGCAGAGACTGTATGCACTAAATTAGACTTAATGGAAGAAACAGGAATATTTTCAGGGCTATTTTATCTCTTTGTGCACAAATATAAAACCAGACAAAGTTCTGGCATTACATCCTTACCTATCGTGGCTGGCTGTTTCTGCCCCAGTGGGTTTAAACAAGGATGGATGCAATTCAGGTCATGCTGCAGCTGAAGTGGGAGGAAATTCTGAAAGGTTTGTCGTCAGTGTGCAAGAAAGTGAAAAGGAAAGAAAATTCAGCGATAACCACGCTTGTTAGTTCAGCAAAGAGCAGTCACGTGGGAGCCTGGAGAAAGCAGATCAATGAGCTGAAAGACAACAAATGAGATGAGCCTTCAGCTGTGAAGGGATGGATGTTCCCTCAATCAGGAATGAACGAGGCACTTCATAGAAGTGGAATACTCCACTCTGAAGGAGTATTCTAATTTTTGCCCAAGGATCTCGGTTTTTCTTTTTATCCTGAAATAAACCATGGAGCTTTGTGCTTCAGGGAGTTTTATTCTTGGCTCTGTGTTTTCTCGGAGATCTGATTTTCCAGTGCACTGCACCATCTGCTCATGGTTTACACCACGACGGAGCGCAAGGAGCGCAGGGCCTGGCATGAGGTGTCGGTGCTGCTTTGAACCAGTTGTCTACACGCAAGAGAAAAATGCTGCTTAGTAAGGAAATCCTACTGAGAAAATATTTCACATTTTTCTCTTTGCTTGCAGCTTCCCAGGAGTTTGGAGCGCATGAATATTCTGGTCTTTTCTTTATTCTGTGCTCCTGAGCTCCTTTACCAGTCTCCTGGGGCAGGAGCAGCCCCGGAGGCTGGAATATGGATCAAAAAGATGTCCTTAGCAGAAGCCAAACAGAGCCTAGAAACTCTTCCTGTTCATCTGCCAGAAGATCACAGAGTCTGGTGTCTTGCAAGAGGCACAGGAGCTTGCAGCATCTGCCACTTGCCTTGTACACGTGCAGGTGGCTCCTGAATCCTTGACATGCGCCGAGGGTAAAACATTGTGTAAGTTCAGTGTGATCCTTCCAACAGCCATGGGTATCCCTGGCATTTCCACTGTACTGCCACGGTCAAATGTGACAATATCAGTTAAATTTGGGAGTGCTGCAGTGAGCCAGTGCTGGGCTGGCCCTTGCCACCCCTGTCAGGGACAGCATCAGTTAAATTTGGGAGAGCTGCAGTGACCCGGTGCTGGGCTGGCCCTTCTCACCCCTGTCAGGGACACTGCACGGCCTGGGGGCTCCTGGGTCACTCCCTGCCCATTCCCCGTGCCCCAGGAGCTGCCCGAGCCAGGGACATTCCGGCTCCTGGGGCCATCCCAGCCTGCTGATCTCTCACTCCTGCCTGGCTCCTCACCCTGCCATATGCTGGGATGGGCTGTGGACATCCACACCCGAGCCTGGCCCGTGGGGAACAGCCAGCTGGCCAACAAATCCTGCCAGATTTCAGGGAAAAATCATAGCTGGGCTAGCTGGCTTGGACTGTAGGGAAGAGCTGAGACTGACAAGCAGCCACTCACGTCATGGCATAGCCCGTTGGAAGTGATTCACTTTTTGATAAGGTCATTTCTTCAATAAATTAATATCTTTACTGCCCCACATTCTACAGAGCCTCGAAGAGAGATGCTGTTCCCATGCTGAACAGATGGGAAATGGGAACCCTCAAATGAGCCAAGAGACAGGAAATTTTGACCCATAATAACCCAGACGCTGGAAGGATCAATAAACATTAACTCTGGAGTGTTTCCCAAACACATGTGAAAGGGCAGGTCGCAAATTTCCCATTTAAACTGGATTTTGACACAAAGGTCAGCTTTCAAAAACACTGAAACTGATTTCTGTAAACAAACTAGCAAACAAACAGAATCCTATTACCTTCTACAAAAAATGTTTTCCTCCAAAAAATAAAGACCTGGAGAGGCAAAAATTTTAGCCAGTCTTTGTGAAATTTATGGGGAAAAAAACAAGTCATTACAGTTTTAATCCCAAATTTGAAAACACAAAGTAGTATTTCTCCTCCTATCAAGTTCTTTAGCATTGCAGAGCAACTCGGACTAAAATATCACAGGGGACTCAGCATTTATCATCTAAACAACATATTTTGCAAATAAGATGAGAATAATATTTATTTGTGAAAAACACTCAAAACTTCAAACCCCTTCAAATTCAGCGCAGTTATGAAGTCTGATGATCCAAAAGTATTTGTATTTTTTTTTTTCCCTGCTCGCCTGTCCATCTGTTTGGTGGCCTGCGGTGAGAAGCAATGCCAGAGGCTGTTGATCCGAGATAAAAGAATCCCGGTCTAAGAGGGGCATCCCCAGAGCCCGGGGTTTTCCCGGTGCCGCCGCTTGCGCAGCCTGGCACGGGCTGAACGGCGCCTGCGGGACAGCGAGGGGGCCCGTCGTGACAATAAACCCCGGCGGGCACTGCGAGCGCCCGTCCCCTCCGGTGCTGGCCCTGGCAAAGGCCACCCGTGCGCGTCCCTGTCCCTGTCCCCGGCCCGGCACCGCCGCGTCCCCGCCGGCCGGGCACGGTGAGGACAAAACGGGGACACCGCGACTGGGTGGCTTTGCAGTTTCTCCCGATTAAGGCCATGTGGGTTAATCCGTGCTTGTGGCGGGGTGCCCCGCGCCCGCGGAGCCGCGTGCGGAGCGCGGAGCGCCACAAAGCAAAGCAGCCGAGTGCGGCGGGCAGCGGGGCCGCTCCGCGGGCGCGCCCGCACACGCGGCCCCGCCGCCGCCGCGCTGCGCGCCCTGCCCCGCCGGCAGAACCGGCCCCGCACAGAGCCGGAGAGCCCCGGACAGCCGGACAGCCCCCGGCCACCGGACAGCCCCGCACACCGGACAGCCCCAGGCAGCCCCCGGACAGCCCCCCGGAGCCGCTCCCCGGAGAGCCCCCGGGCACCGGACAGCCCCCCAGACAGTCCCGGACATCGGACAGCCCCCGGAGCCGCCCCCCGGACACCGGACAGCCCCCCGGACATCGGCCAGCCCCCGGCCAGCCCGGGCCAGCCCCCGGAGCCGCCCCCTCTCCTCCCCTCCCCTCCCGCGGCCGCCCCGCGCCCAGCCGGGCCATGGAGCAGCACCTGCGGCGCCTGCGGCAGGAGCTGGTAAGGGCCGGGGGTCGGGGCACCGGGGGGCGGCTTTGGGCAGAGCCCGCTTGTGGGTCGGGGGTCCCGCCGCTGCCTTCGCCGTGAGCGGGGGCAGGGCCCGGTTGTGGCTCGGGGTCCGTCCGTGTGTCGGAGAGAAACCGCGGCGGGGGCGTGCGGGGGCTTTAGGGACACGCCGCCAGCGCAGGTCAGAAATCAGCCAAGCAGGCACAGAGATGGATAGGAACAACTTTCTGGGAATCAAAAGGCTGCAAAAGGAGCACGCCGGCACCTCCGGTACCCTGTGAAAATACTTCTTTAATAGGAAAGCCTTTGTCAGAAAGGAGCGGTGTGTTCGCCCTCCCGCCGCTCCTGCTCGGGGGGAACCTCAGTCCCGGGGCTTGCTGGGGCTTGTCCAGCCGCCCGAAGGGATTGCTGCTGCTCTGGAGCTGCCTGGGGAGGGTTGGGAGGCGGAACTGATACTTCCCAAAATAGGGTTCCAGTGGGTCTGGCTCGGAGTCTGCCTTATCCTGATAAATAGATAATGAGAACAAAAGGGGAAGACAAGGCAGAGCGAGAACGGGTGGGTGAAGTTCCTGACTGCCAGAAGCTCCCGGTTTGGGCTGGAGGGAGGTGATTCCAGGCGGGTTCGTGCTCCCTGGAGTTGTGTGCATTGCAGGAAGCGCTCCGTGTGTCACCCCAGCAGTCCCTGCGGAGCAGGCAGAGTTCCAGCTGTGCCCAGGGCAGACGGGGCTGGAGAGCCCCGTGCTGCTCCAGATCCCGGCGTCTTGTGAAACACGGGCTGGGGCAGTGGCCTTTTGCTCCCGATAAATGTGGCAGCAGTGACATTTAACCTGGTGGCGTTCCCAGTGTTTCCCCAGCAAACACAGGAGGTGAAAGACACACTAAAACAAAGGAAAATGGGAGTCACTGGTGTGCTGTACCCTGAGTGTGATGAGTGAAATGCAAACTGCCAACCGGGACATGTACAGAATAATCTGACAGCCCTTGAAATTCTGAGCTGGGAGGTGAGATGGGAGAAGGAAGAACAGCCTAAGAATAAGGTTCCTAAATCTGTGTTTTGTCTTCTAACCAAATCAGTTTTGTTATCTGAGCAATATTTTTGTAGAGGAGTCTAAACATTGCACCTCTCAGTCTAAAACATGCCTGATTTGTCGTGCAAAATACAACTTCTGAAGAGTCAATGTATTCAACAGAAAGGGAGATCCCTCACACTTACTGTGAAAGCCAGAAAAAAAATACTTTAAATGAGAAAATTCTGGCTTTGTTCAGTCCTTGCTATAATGCAGGAGTCTATTTTTTTTCAATTGCAAGAATGCAACAGTTTTTATTATGTTAGTAAACCATGACTTAACTTGGCATCAATCTGCGTATGCTTGGCTTAGAACCCTGGGAGGGGGCAGTTGTCCCCTTCAGCTGGCCGAGCTGTGACTTGGCTGGGAGCAGCCTGGCTCTCCATACGTTTGGTTTTCAGCATTGGTTCCCCCTCCCACCGCCCGGTTTTTGTTGTTCAGCCTTTAGAACTTCCTTTCACACGGGCTCTCGGTGATCCCAGCTCTGCATCCGCAGGGTGCAGCTGGGCTCAGCCCGGCTCACCTCCTGCACCTCCCTGGCCGAGCCTGCGGCGAGAGTGGGAGCAGCAGCAGCTGGAGCAGCCCTCGGTGGTGTCCTGAGCCATAGCAGCTTGTAAAAATCACTTCTGTGCCCGCAGCCTGGAATGGAGATGGATGTTTCTGTCCAGCCCGGGGACAGCTGGGCCCATCTGCAGCGCGGGCTGTGGAGCCGGGCTGTGGAGCCGGGTTTTGGAGCCGGGCTGTGGAGCCGGGTTTTGGAGCCGGGCTGTGGAGCCGGGCTGTGGAGCCGGGCTGTGGAGCCGGGCTGTGGAGCTGGGCTGTGGAGCCGTGCTGTGCCTCCTGCCCGGCCCTTGGCTGCTCCAGGGCCAGGGGCAGCAGTGGTGACAATGGCTTTGGCCACCTGCAGCCAGTGGGGCACGGCGAGTGCGGCCCCGGCTGTCCCGGTGCGCTTAGGAGCGCACCAGGCTGTGTCCGAGGAGCAGCCCTGCTGTGCAGGGAGGCTCTGCAGAACTTCCCTCTGAGCAGCCAGGCTCTTCAGGGCTGCTCAGTGTCACACGGCAAGGTTAGAGACTGTCCCGTTAGCAGAATTTAGTTTGTCTCAGTGCAGGCAGCCTCTGGTTTGGTAAAGCAGAGTTTTGGCCGGTTTTGAGGAGGGGATTTTCTCACAAAATAGTGGATGTTGGCACAGCTCCCAGTTCCCAAGGAAAGGTTATCTTCCAGTGCAACTCAATCCCCCAGCAGTGTGAGACAGGAGGATTCCAGCTCTGTTTTTCCTTTCCCTTGCTTTGTTTATTAAAAACACATTTAATTGCTGGTGTGCTTGGCTGGGCCCCCGTGTGTCACCTGTGCCCCGAGAGCACAGCGAGCCGTGCCAGGCGAGTCAGCGAGCAGCGAGGTCAGGCACGCTCGCCCTGCTCTTCCCATTTCCTCTGGGAAAGCTCTGCCAGGGCTGCCGAGGATGAATCTGACCCCTTTCAGTCGGTGAGGAGAGATCTCCCGTTCCAGCCGCGTGTTTTCCATTGTAAGCTGATCGTTTCTGGCATGTGTGCTGTCCCTTTGATTGGAATTCATTCAGAGCAGCCGGGAGAGCCTCAGCTGACACAGCCATTCATCCCGTGGGACCAGGGGCTGCCATCCTCCTCCCGGCCTGCCACCAGCCCGGGCGGCTTCCCCACGGGCTGTGCCAGCTCTCTGCACCTCGGCCCCGGCCGCAGGAAGTATTTGAGACCTCCTCCTGCTCCGGGAAGCCCCTGGAGATCTCTGGATGCACTGCGGCTTGTGGGAACGTGCAGCGCTGGTTTGTAGGTCTGGTGATGGAATAAGCTGTGCTTCTGCACTGCTGTCTGTCCTTCCGGGGCAGCTGTGAAACGTGCCCCAGAGCCTGGGAGTGTGCCCTTCCTGCCGTGAATCCCCATCCTCAAAGCCCTTTGCCTGCATTTGGGATCTGCAAACGTTGTCCTGAGGCACGGCAGAGTTGTGCTGCTCCCCGAGTCACAGAGCGATCTCAGCTGAAAGCTCAGATTTAGCAGGAGTTGGAGATGCAGCAGGAGTTGGAGATGCAGCAGGAGTTGGAGATGCAGCAGGAGTTGGAGATTTAGCAGGAGTTGGAGATTTAGCAGGAGCTGGAGATGCAGCAGGAGTTGTCTTGCTGAGGGGTTGGCAGAGAGGAGTTTCATTTCTGTGCCTGCCTGCACTCTCAGACACCAGGACAGCTCGCGCTGGTGTGCAGCAGCATCACACATGGACTGTGGGATGGGGGCTTGGGGCTCATCTGAGGTGAAATAAATCATTGTTTTCTGTCTGGGGACTGCTGAGTCCACGGGGCAGATGGATCTGGCACGTGGGGTTTGTGTGGCTGTGACAGCCACATCAGCTGTGCTTGCAACCTTCCTTGGCTGTGCTTGGAACTTTACTTGGCATGTTTTGGTCCTTCAGATAAATCCAGGATATATCTGGGCTTTCTGTTGCTTTCTTCTGGGACGAAAAGTATTTAAGTCACCACTCTGACTGGAACTTTTAATGTTCTTTCTGCACATTTGTCATAAATGCATCGAATTACTGAGTTTGATAGAGTCTGACTCTGCTCTTACATTAATTTATGTCCTGGCAGACAATGTTTCTTGCTATGAATATCCTGCAGGAATAGAACATTGGGTCCGAGTGAAAAATACAGCCAATTATTTTTACTCTTTGTCTCACACTGGGTCCTATTCCGGTAACTGTGTCACGCTCCGAGAGGATCTGCTGTGTTTTCATTCCTGCTCTCTCTGAAGGGGCAGCTCGGCTGGTTTGCAGTGTGTGAGGCACCAGTGCCAGCCCTGAGGCTCTGGTGCCACTGCTGCAGCTCCAGGAGTCTCAGCCGATGCAGGTCCTGCTCTGGGTGGCTCCAGCCCTGGCTGCTGCAGGCAGTGCCAGAAGGTTGGGTGGGTGTCACAGCTCCCATTCCCTGCTCTTCTGGGGGCAAGGTGCAAAGGAGTGACTTGACAGCAGATGTCCTGTCGTGTGTAACTGGGGAGAGGAGGCACTCGCAGGCTGTGTCCTCTGGGTTATTTCCAGAGCAGTCACCTAAAGATGAGGATGGATTTTTTCAGACTCCCAGTTTCACGTAATCGGGAATGTTAAAGAGCAGACTCCCAGGGAAGCAGGTCTGGGCTGAAAACTGACACTTCTAACCATCATCTTCAGTGGCCAGTCGAGGCCTGTGGTCTCTCTTATGGGTTGTGAGTGAAATCTGAAGATTGGAGTTATTTTTGGCCCATTTTCATCCTGGTTGAGGATAATTGTTTTTTTCTGATTTGCCTTTAAAGATAGGGAGTGTGTCTGGGAAGCACAGGACAATGTCCTTGCCGTGGGAAGGAAGGTGGGTGATGGAGTGGTGTGAACCACATCTGCCATGGTTCACATCTGCTTGGGATCTGTTGAAATTGTCATGAGGGGGAGTCTCTGGTTCACTTTCAGCATCCTTCCTCTTTCAGAGCACTGTGAGCTCACAGTTAGCATCCTCATGCACACCTACCCTGGGAAGGTGAGGTAAAAGACTGGAAATTATTCTGATAAAATGCAAGGATTGAAAGACAACTGCAGGCCCTTGGCATGCTCCAGGGGAAGGAAAAGAAAGGTGGAACGAGGGGCTGGAGAGAGCTCTGTGTGAGCTGTGCAGCAAGGCTGTGCCCAGCCTCAGCTGCAGGCTTGCTGGAGATTAATCCAGTTAGTGACCCAAAGGAAAACACAGAAACAATATGATCAGCTCAGCAGTTCTAAAATAATTTCAGTCTCTATTATGTCATCTGCTTTAAATACCAATTGTTTGGTGCTGGCTCTGTTGCCCATCAGAACTATTATTAAGAACTATTTGCCATTTGTTCTTTCCTGTCCTCTTAGCAATAACTTCCTCTGTGTGCATTTCTTTTACCTAAGAGCTGGACATCTGTCTTCCTCCTGGTGGTGACAAACACACTCAGGGCTCTTCTTCCCAGCTCTGTGCTCAGCTGGAGCTGGGGTGTCTGGGCTTTCCCTTTCCACCAGCAGCACGAAGCTGCAGGCAGAGGGCTGGGAATGCTGGGCTGTGGCTCCAGGAGATCCACTGGAGCTGGATCCTGAGAGCTGGTGATGTTACCAGGAGAGCATCCCGAAGTGGCTGGGGAAAGTTACTGATTTACCTGGGAAGGGGGAAGGAAAACTCCCTTATGTGTAGATCTCGGGTGTTTGAGGCTGAGTTTGGTGAAATGCCAGGAGCGGCTGGAGGAGGCTCCTTGGGCCAGGCTCTGCCCTGCTGTGGGAATCAGTGCTGGAAGGTCATTGATTTACCAGCTGTGTGGAGCACTTGTGGGTTATTGTCTGGGGCTGAGCAGATCGTGGAAAGGCTGTTTTCCAAACAGTTGGTGCCTTTGCTGCTCAGGATGCGCTGCCAGGGCAAAAACCACTCCGTATATGAACTCTGGCAGTCTTTTGTTTGGTTCCCTGCCACGCTGAAGAGTCCCTGATGATCATTTGAAAGTGGAATTTTGAATTTTGCACTTCAGTTTTCAGTGCTTGGGGTGTCTGTAGTTTGAAGGAGCTTTGCTTTGGAGGAGCACTGAGGCAGAGCTGCCTGGGTCACACCTGCCCAGGAGGGCTGAGCCAGGTAATACCTCAGTGCTGGAGAAAGGAACCTCTCCCATCACACACCAGTCCCAGGCACTGAAGGGGAACACAGCCCTGTAAGTACTTGTCTTGCTTTAAAGGGCATGAGTTGGCTTGTGCAGAATTAGACATCAAATTTTTCATGCCAATTTTTAGGGATTGCAAAAGTTTCAGGAATAATGAGATCCAATCCGAGGCATCTGGTTTTTAACTGGTTTATAGAGCAGGATTTGGATATCTGCGAGTTGTCATGGCTCTAAGAGGGCTCTTTTTGGAAGCAGAGAAGCCAAACCACCACTTCTATTGAAGGGCCAGGTCTCAGGTTGGACACCTGGGCCCTGGAAGTGCTGCTGGGTTTGTGCACCTTGGGCAGGAGCAGCAGGAGAGAGGGCAGGGCAGGGCTGCTGGCCCTGGGCTCTTCTCTGGGATTCACAGGTGACAGAGGCACGAGCAGAGCAGCTCCTCGTGCCCTGCTCACACAGTGGCACCTGCACAGCCCTGGCAGAACCAGGGTCCCTCTCCTTGCCAGGAAGGCTCTCTGGGCTCTGGTGCCACATTCGCACTCTCTGTGCAGTCCAGCTCATCGCAAATCTGAGCTTCTCCTGCATGGTGGTGACCAAGAGCCAGTGGGGCTACGAGGGTGTCCCTTCAGCCTGGAGCTCCCCTCACTCCAGCAGTGCATCCACTTGGTGTCCAGCCCAGTCTGCTGAAGTTTTTGCAGAACTCCTTCTCACAGACCAGGTAGTTCCGCTCATCACAAATCTGAGCTCCTCCTGCATGGTGGTGACCAAGAGCCAGTGGGGCTACGAGGGTGTCCCTTCAGCCTGGAGCTCCCCTCACTCCAGCAGTGCATCCATTTGGTGTCCAGCTCAGTCTGCTGAAGTTTTTGCAGAACCCCTTTTTCTTCTCACAGACCAGGTAGTTCCATCCTCACCCTCTGCCAGGGTGATTTCTCTTCTCTGGGACTTGTTCTTTTTCTGGAGAGTCTCAGAGAAGCCACTCTGAACTTGGGAGAACTGAGATCTTGGCAAGGAGGAGAGGCTGGCAGTTAGACACTGGGGAAGGTTCATTTTCCCTCCAGAATTTTCTTTCCAAGGTGAGTACTCATAATTGCAGGTGGATGGAATCCAAGCCCCACAGGCTGTTTGGTCACCAGGCAGTGACTTCACTTTGGGCTGGGCTTCCCTCTCTCTCCAGTTCTGTAAAGGACTGAGCAGACATCAAGAAGAGCAAAAGATAAAGCAGAGGGGGTTGGTTTGCTTCATTTTTTACCTTGCACAACCCGAAATTACAGCAGCGTTTGCCAGCAGAGTTGAAGGCTCAGGATGCTGAGAGCTCAGTCGCTGCTGGTGGGGCTCACATTGCTGGAGGGGCTCTGAGCTGGAGGGTGGGATTCCCTGGGGCAGGATGGAGGAGCCACAGCCCGGAGCCCCTGTCCCCTGCTGTGCTGCCAGGGGCTCAGCCCAGCATCCCCCTCAGTCGTGCACAGCCTTTCCACAGAGGAGAACACCCCCTGTTCCTTTCCAGCGCTCCGGGCTCCCCAGGCTGGTGCTGGCCCCAGCTTTGGCAGCCCCAGCTGCTTTGTTCAGGGCTCAGTCTGTTCCTCCAGGGGCTCTGCCTGTGAGCAGCGAGCCCAGCCCTGCCCAGGAAGGGTTAATTCTCCCTGGTTTTGCCTGGCTGAGCCCAGCAGGGCTGCCCCATCCCGGGGCAGCTCCCTGGGGCTGGAGGAGCTGGGTCTGGGGCAGGACCCTGCGCTCCCCACGGCGCGATTACTGCGCCAGGGGATTTGGGGGAAGTGGCCAATGAGGGGCCAAGCTGGCTCCAAATCCAGCTTTTCCCAAAGCCCCAGATAAAACAGACTGCCATTAATAAGGCAAGGAGGGTTAGGACGAGCAGCATCTCAGCAGACCTGGAGAGGTAAGGTGGCACTGCTGTCTGAGGCTGGCCCAGCTCGGGGTGGGAACCAGGGGCACGGTGGGGCTGCAGCTGGGACATTATTGGCACGTCTGCAGCAGGAGTTTGTTTGCTGATGTTAAGAAATGCCATAGCTGGAGGCTCTGGGTAGTGGAACCAGGAAGCTGAGCACAGATTTTCTGTGTCTTTGTCGCTGTGTGCTCATTCCGGGTGATATACAAGTTTCTTGAGAGGAAAGCTCAGGAAAATGACTGCAACCTGCTGGTGAGTTGAGTTCTAGGTTCTGGGGTTTGAAATGGGGATTTGTGGTCAGAAACTGTTGAGCAGTTTCACCTTAGAGAGCTGGGTTCTCAATTTTCTGGTGGCTGCTCTTCCTCGCTGCTCAGCTCAGTACAGAGATGGAAACAGAGCCAGTAATTGAACCAGCTTAGTTCAAATGAAGGAGATGTAGGAAATAAATCTTGGTAATGTAAAGCTGAACGTAAGAATAAAAGAAAAAGCTGGCCTTTTCCACCCTAATCTTGAGATCTGCTGCTGTACAAAAAATGTTGCTGAGCCTTTTGAAGTGTTGGTGACAGCGTAGGCTGGAGCTTCCCTGGACGGGGTAATCTCTGCAAACCACCTCACCCAGAGTGACACGGCCTCCCCTCCAGCCCTGCCAGCCCCTGCTGTTCCTCCCCTCTCCTGCCCCTTCCCACTCCCCCTCCTGCTAAAAATGACTCAGTGGCAGCTGTTGGGAAGTGGAGCCCGTTTGCTTGCTGCTGCTTTGGGAATATGATCCAGATCCTGCACGAGAGAGGGAAAGCAACTGAGCGAGAGAGAAGGGGGAGTTGGGAAGCTCTGGAGAATAACTTGCTTATTTTAAGCCTGGTGTAGAAAGTTCAATCTTTGTAGTGAGGTTCAGGGATGAAGCAGAGCTGCTACTAGAGGTCCTAGGCTGGGAATCAAAGAATTCCTGGTGGAATGTAAGTAACCCTAGAGTTTGTTGGTTGTTCTGTGCAGAATTTCCAGTGCATTGAAATGTCTTTGTCCTCTAGCGAGAGGTGCCTGTGCTGAGGGCACTGAGAGCTGGAGATGTGCTATGGAGTAACAATCTAATTCTTCCTGGGGTTTGTTTTTAATCGACTTGAGCACTTGAGCTAAGGAAGCAAGGCTCTGTTCTGGCTCCTGATTTCAGCTGGTGACAGGGCACAAAAGACTCAAAAGCGCAGGAATATTCTAAAAGTGGTGGCAGCCAAAACCATTCATAATTCTGCACCTTGGGCTTCTGCCAAGCAATTAATGGAAACTCAAACTCTTATTTTTGTTGTCAGGTCAGACAATCCACTTCTGTCAGCTCCTCTTATTCCTAGAGGGCCACTCCTAGAAAAATCTAAGGAGAATCGGAGTGCTGTTGGCTGCAGTGGGTGCAGGGCAGGGGGATGCGTGGCACGTGTGGTCAGGAAGGAGGGCATGGCCCAGAAAGCTGCTCAGCCCTGCTCTGCTGGCCCGTGCTGCTGCTGTCCTGCCTGGGGACACTGCTGGGGACACTGCTGGAGACACTGCTGGGGACACTGCTAGGGACACTGCTGGGGACACTACTGGGGACACTGCCCCATGGGGACACTGCAGGGGACACTGCTAAGGACACTGCTGGGGACCCTGCCCCCGGGGATGCTGACCCTCAGGGACACTGCTGGGGACACTGCAGGGGACACTGCTGGGGACACTGCTGGGGACACTGCCCCATGGGGACACTGCCCCATGGGGACACTGCCCCATGGGGACACTGCTGGGGACACTGCTGGGGACCCTGCCCCTGGGGATGCTGACCCTCAGGGACACTGCTGGGGACACTGCAGGGGACGCTGCAGGGGACCCTGCCCCCGGGGACACTGACCCTTGGGGACACTGCAGGGGACATTGCTGGGGACACCACCCCATGGGGACACTGCTGGGGACACTGCTGGGGACACTGCCCCACGGGGACACTGCAGGGGACACTGCTAAGGACACTGCTGGGGACCCTGCCCCCGGGGACGCTGACCCTCGGGGACACTGCAGGGGACATTGCTGGGGACACCAACCCATGGGGACACTGCTGGGGACACTGACCCTTGGGGACACTGCTGGGGACACTGCTAAGGACACTGCTGGGGACCCTGCCCCCGGGGATGCTGACCCTCAGGGACACTGCTGGGGACACTGCAGGGGACACTGCTGGGGACACTGCTGGGGACACTGCTGGGGACACTGACCCTCGGGGACGCTGCAGGGGACCGTGCCCCTGGCTCTGACCCGCTGTGCTGTTCCCTCCGCAGCTGTCCATGAAGGAGGTGGGTGACGGGCTGCACGAGCAGATGACCTGCATGATGGGCGCCCTGCAGGAGCTGAAGCTGCTGCAGGTGCAGACGGCCCTGGAGCACCTGGACATCTCGGGGCGCCGCAGCCCCGCCGAGCAGCGCCGCTGCTGCCGGGGCGGCGCGGGGCCCGGCCGGGACCCGCTGCCGGGGGGGGCCCAGGGACGGTGCCCCCCGGCCCTGCCGTGTCCCCTGCCGCGGCCGGCCAGCTCGTCCCGGCCCGCTGCGCTCGCGGAGAGCGACCACCCTGGAGACACCCCCTGCTCCTCGCGCGGCCTCTGCGGGGACGGCCCGTGCCCCCCAAAAGGACCTTCCTCCGGCAGCACGGGGCACGGCCAGCCCCGCACGCCCGAGCCCAGCAGGCAGGGCACGGCTGGGGCATGGCCGCCCTGCCGGGAGTGCCCGGGCTGTGACGATGGCCACGACTGGACGTCGTCCCTGATGTCGCAGAGCAGGAACCGGCAGCCGCTGGTGCTGGGGGACAACATCTTCGCAGACTTGGTGGGCAACTGGCTGGACCTGCCCGAGCTGGATAAGAAGGGGGAGAAGGGCGAGGCGTCCCTGTCCGTGAGCAGATCCCAGGAGCTCTGCAGGAAGTTCTCCCTCACAGCCAACATCTTCAAGAAGTTCCTGAGGAGCGTCCGGCCGGACCGCGACAGGCTGCTCAAGGAGAAGCCTTGCTGGCTCCCTCCCGAGGACAAACAGCCCCAGATTTCCAAGAGGTCCAAAAAGATCAACAAACTCAAGGGGACGTTCTACCTGCCCCTGCACGGGAACCTGCAGAGCCATCACAGCAAAGCAGAGAGGTGCCCGAGGGCAGACAGCCGCAGCGAGCACCCCAAAATGGGCACCAGGAAGGTCCCCGACCCCAGAGACTACAGCCCGGCGGGGTTTGACATCAACACGGCCGTCTGGGTCTGAGCCCTGCCCTGGCCAGCACCCAGCACGAGCTGCAGGCCACGCTCACTGCTCAGGGGGCTCCTGAGCTCTCACAGGATGAGAGGGTCCTGCAGAGCGTGCTGCGGGCTTCACTCGCCTGCTCATGGAACTTTCTGGAGAGCTGCGGCTGCCTGAGCAGCAGCTCCACCTGGGGAGACCTTTGGGGGCCAATACCGGCAAAAATAATGCGAATCTTCAGCAGCTTTAGGGTGAGTGGTGCCACAGGTGAGCAGCTCCTGGTGCCAGGCCCGTTCCATCATCTCCAGCTCGATGGTGCAGCACAAAGTCCATGGTGTGCATGTGTGTGTATGAGTGTGCAAATATATATATATATATATAGTTTTGTTAAAAAATTCTATTCCTGCTTGTGTGCACTTGAAACTGGGTTACAAACCAGGCATCCCAAGCCTTGTACCTGAAGCACTTGTTATTTAAATGGAAAGAAATAAGTTTGAATTTATAAGACTTGAACAATTGCTGAGGGGGGGAGCAAACCCCCAACTTTGGGGGGTTTCCCCTTAAACTGTATGCCTGGTGCTCCCCCAGCATCTCTCCCTCCCCTGCCAGTCAAACCAGTGGGGCACAAGGCTCCTTGCAGGGGGTCTGTGACCTGGGGGTCTCGGGGGGTTTGCCCTCTCCCCTTGTCCCTGTGGATCACTCCAGGTACAACACTGCTGAAGTTTCCTGTTGGATTTTCACCCAGAAGCAAAGTTCAGTCCCCGTTTCCCGTCGTGTTCCCTTTGCTGTTGTACAAACCCCGCTTTGACAGAACCAAGTTCTGCGGTGTCCGGCTCTCCAAGAGTTTGCAATAAAGTGGGATTGTCTCTCTGTGCTGTGGGACACCCTGGTCTGTTCTCTCATGGGGATTTCCCTGGCTGTTCCAGCTGGGGGGCAGCCACAAGAGTTTCCATTCCAGGAGAGGCTGTAAATCACAGCAGAGCTCCGTGCCACGGTGCCAGCGCTGCCCCAGAGGCACAGCCCCTGCACTGCCCCGAGCCCCAGGGCTCTGCAGCCTCCCCGTCCATCCTGCCTCCCCCAGAGGTGGCATGGACAGAGGGACAGAGGTCTGGGGGAGGCTGGAGGAGGGGGACAGGCCAGCTGCTGCCACAGCTGCAGGGAGCAGAGCTGTGCTGGTGCAGCCCCAGCAGAGCCCCGAGTGCAGCGGGGCTGTGCTCCAAAGTGCTGCACTCACTCTTCACTCCCAGCTCCGGAGGGGCTGGTGTGCAAGGGTTCTTCTCTTTGAACACCCAGCTCTGCTCCTCTTGTAGCTTCCCGGGGCTGAGGCCGCTGGAGCAGAGGCGTGCAGGCAGGATTCTTTTTCTCCTTTCAAATTAAATATAGGCACAAAGGCAGGCCCTGCTTGTGCCCATACAAGGAGAGGAGCAGGGCAGCACCCAGCTCAGCACTTCTGCAGGAACCTGAGCAAGCTTTTGTCCTTCCTCCTCGTGGGCTTCAGGGCTGCTGCTTCCCCCTTCCTCCTTTCTCTGAATGCTGAAAGGCTGCTTGGAAAGCATTTTGTTTTCCTCCTCTTTTATCAGGAATTCATCCTGTTTGTTGCCTCCCCACTCCTTTCAGCAAAGAGAAGTTTTCCAGAGAGAGGAACAGCTTTTCCTGCAGCAGCCTCAGTCCCCAGGAGTGTGACCTCAGCCCTGGGGTCCCAGCCCCGAGCCCTGGGGCACCCCATGGCCAGGAGCACATCCTGGGTCACCCCATGGGCAGGAGCAGATCCCAGCCATGTCCTGGGGCATTCCCATGGCCAGGAGCAGATCCTGGGGCACCCCACAGGCAGGAGCACATCCTGGGGCACCCCATGGCCAGGAGCAGATCCCAGCCATGTCCTGGGGCATTCCCATGGGCAGGAGCAGATCCTGAGGCACCCCATGGCCAGGAGCAGATCCCAGCCATGTCCTGGGGCATTCCCATGGCCAGGAGCAGATCCTGGGGCACCCCACGGGCAGGAGCACATCCTGGGGCACCCCATGGCCAGGAGCACATCCTGGGGCACCCCATGGCCAGGAGCAGATCCTGGGGCATTCCCATGGGCAGGAGCAGATCCTGGGATCCCAGCCCTGAGCCCTGGGGCACCCCATGGGCAGGAGCACCCCCACAGCCATGCCCTGGGGCATTCCCATGGGCAGGAGCACATCCTGGGACATTCCCACAGCCACGAGCACATCCCAGCCGTGCCCAAAGGCTGAGCCCCATGGAGAGGGGCCCTGCTGGGTGGGCTGTGCCCAGGAGAGCTGAGAGCTCCCTCCTGGCCCCTGTGAGCTCATCCCTGGCCTTGCCCCCGGGTGTGACAGGCAGTGCTCAGGCCAGGCTGAGCGTGGCACGGCCCTGGTGGCCACGGTGACATTTGGGGTGGGAGGGGAGGGACGTTTCTGCAGTGGCTGGCCCTGCCAGGCCGTGTGTGACACAGGGCACAGGCTGGGAGTGTGCAGCCTGGGGAAATCTGCAGCCTGGAATGCACACAGGGACCCTCTGGGAAAAGCAGTTCCCAAGGGTCCCCATTCCTGCCAGCCCCCCGTGTCACTCCCATGTCCCTCCTGAGCCCCCGGGTGTTTGCAGTGACAAATCCAGTGAGGGCTAGGCTTCAAATGCCTGGAAATAGTGAGAAAATGCAGCTGCATCTCAAAGTTCTTAAGAGAAAAATATTTAATAAACATTCTTTGTAGACATTCAAATAATGAAGAATATCACCCAAGCCAGACATCCTTCCTAATTTAGTCTCCAGAGCAGGATCTGCTAATAGATCAGAGCTGGATCTGTGAATTACCATTTCACTTCTCCAGGGACTTTTCCTGAAATTACAATGGCTTTTGCTCCTCTTTTTTCCCTTCATGAAACTGCCACGAAATTGTTCTCCATTATTAAGGATGAAACCCACCTAATTAGCACAGTGACGGTGTCTGAGGAGGCCCTGGCTGCCTTCTGCACGGCTGACAGGAGTGGCTAATCCCAGCCACAGGACAATAGCCAGAGGAGCAGCCTGGGAAGCAGAGCTGGCTGCTGCTGGGATTTACTGGAAATCTGTGGTCAGTCTCAGCCCCGGGCTGGGTGAGCAGCACTCCCAGAGCCCGGGCAGCCAGCACCGGGATGCACCCAGCTCTGGGATGCAGCCAGCACTGGGATGTACCCAGCACCGGGATGCAGCCAGCACTGGGATGCAGCCAGCACCGGGATGCAGCCAGCACCGGGATGCACCCAGCACTGGGATGCAGCCAGCACCGGGATGCAGCCAGCACCGGGATGCAGCCAGCACCGGGATGCACCCAGCACTGGGATGCACCCAGCACTGGGATGCAGCCAGCACTGGGATGCACCCAGCACTGGGATGCAGCCAGCACCGAAAATTGTTCTCCATTATTAAGGATGAAACCCACCTAATTAGCACAGTGACGGTGTCTGAGGAGGCCCTGGCTGCCTTCTGCACGGCTGACAGGAGTGGCTAATCCCAGCCACAGGACAATAGCCAGAGGAGCAGCCTGGGAAGCAGAGCTGGCTGCTGCTGGGATTTACTGGAAATCTGTGGTCAGTCTCAGCCCCGGGCTGGGTGAGCAGCACTCCCAGAGCCCGGGCAGCCAGCACCGGGATGCACCCAGCTCTGGGATGCAGCCAGCACTGGGATGTACCCAGCACCGGGATGCAGCCAGCACTGGGATGCAGCCAGCACCGGGATGCAGCCAGCACCGGGATGCAGCCAGCACCGGGATGCACCCAGCACTGGGATGCACCCAGCACTGGGATGCAGCCAGCACTGGGATGCAGCCAGCACGGGGATGCACCCAGCACCGGGATGCAGCCAGCACCGGGATGCAGCCAGCAGTGGGATGCAGCCAGCACCGGGATGCAGCCAGCACTGGGATGCAGCCAGCACTGGGGTGGGTGCCTGCTGCTCTGGCCCATCTGGCTTAATGGCAAGAGAGGATTTAGCTCTTAGCGTTAATCGAGTGCTCTCCAGGAGCTGCTCCTGCTCCCTGGGCTTTCCCTTCCCGGAGCCCACAGCCTGCTCTCTGGGATGCAGCCAGCACTGGGGTGGGTGCCTGCTGCTCTGGCCCATCTGGCTTAATGGCAAGAGAGGATTTAGCTCTTAGCGTTAATCGAGTGCTCTCCAGGAGCTGCTCCTGCTCCCTGGGCTTTCCCTTCCCGGAGCCCACAGCCTGCTCTCCCGGCCAGATGGCCTCCAGAAGGCTCTCAAATGTGCCTGTAATTAAAAAGCCTTGATTTTCAAAACCATTTCGCAGCTTATTCTTGTGACAATGAGTGGGGCTGCTGCGGGGCAGGAGGAAAGGGAACTGCAGGAGTGTTTTCTGTTCACTTTGTGAATGCCAGGACAGGGGCAGTGCCTGTAAACTGGAAGAGAGCAGCGTTAGACGGGATATTGGGAAGGAATTCCTCCCTGTGAGGGAGGTGAGGCCCTGGCACAGGTGCCCAGAGCAGCTGTGGATCCATGGCAGCGCCAAGGCCGGGCTGGGCAGCGCTTGGGACAGCGGGAGTGTCCGTGCCAGGGCAGGGGATTGGAATTGGGGGATGTTTGAGGTGCCTTCCAAGCCACGTCCTGCTGGGGTACCTGCTCAGAGCTGCCCCCTCCTCCCTGGCAGTCAGGGGCTGGCAGCGAGGGCAGCCAGCCAGGCGTTGGTGCTGCAGCTGCCTGATCTGCATGTGCTCATGCTAATGCTGGGGGAACCATTCAGGGCCGGCTTTGTGCTGGGCTTCCTGTGCCCTGAATGGAGCTCTGCTTGCAAAAAGGAGAGGCTGGCTCCTCTGCACTCTGCCTCGCTCAGGAGGGGAACTTTCTGTGTGCTGCTTACCTGGTGTCCGAAGGTGAGGCTGCTGTGATGCTGTTAGCAGCAAGGTCAGAGCTTTGCACGGAATACGCGCCTGAAAGAGGCAGATAACAGATATTCCTACGAGAAATTCTTATTTATTCCTAAGGGGAATGGGAGAAACATTCTATTTGCAGCTGCAGAGTATTGGGAAATTCTCTGGAGATAAGCTGCACTGCCAGGAAAGTGGAGCAGAAGCCCTCCTTCAGCAGGGGTTTTATGGCAGCTGTAAATCACTCAGAGATGGGTGGGATAAGGCACCTCAAACAGCCAAACCAGCACCTTCCTCCCTGCAGCCTGCAGGGCCCTGCAGGAGCGCCCCAGCCGGGCTCCACCAGGGCTCTGTGTGCAGAAATCTCCCTGCAGCAGCCTGTCACCCCTGCGGCCCCTCCAGGGGGGATTCCCGGTGTCCCCACCCCGGGCATTGTCCCCAGCAGGGCTCCGGGTCCTTTGCCATAATGTGATGTCATGGGACAATTCGATGTGACACATCTTGGCAGCTCTGGAGAATCACAGAGGAGCCGAAGGCAGGCAGGACACAGAGCCCTCATCTCTGTGTGCGGGACACAGAGCCCTCATCTCTGTGTGAGGGACACAGAGCCCTCATCTCTGTGTGCAGGACACAGAGCCCTCATCTCTGTGTGCGGGACACAGAGCCCTCATCTCTGTGTGCATCTCTGTGTGCGGGACACGGAGCCCTCATCTCTGTGTGCGGGACACAGAGCCCTCATCTCTGTGTGCATCGCAGCTGGAAAAATCACCACCAGGTGAAGGACCTGCAGCGTTTCCTCTGGGACACAGCAAGGTCCCGAACACGATGCTATAAATTAATTATTTCGATTCCAGCCCTGCCATCTGGCCAGATGTCTCCACCCTGCCCAGAGCCCCCGGAGCTCTCAGGACTCCGTGCTGGAGGAGAGAGCTCTCCTCGTGTGTCTGAATGGGCCCAGGCTCCTCCTGCCCTGCAAGAAGCAGGAGGAGAACCAGAAGGACTCTGAGG